TGCCCCATGTTCCTCAGTGACGGTGCTTGGAGCAGGTCATTGTAATTTTGATGTCTCTTGTTTTCAAATTCCTATTCTCTTCTGGGCTTGCATATGTGTGTTTTATATAGCTTTGTATTTTTCAGATGAATATTCAGTTTTGTGCATTTGAATAAAAGAGGGGAAAAGGTTTGACTGTTATATGCTTATCTCTTAAATAGAGCTTACTTGTTAGTTTCCAATAATAGCTTCATTCAGGAGAATGCTGTAAAATTTCATTTTTCAATGCTCCCTGTCAACGGCTACCCTATTTGTCTTTTTTAAATCCCTGTTGGGGACTTAGCTTTCCCACCACCGTTTTTGTCCCAGTTTTGCTAGCTCCTAGAGCCCCTCAGAAGCACAGGGTGCAGTTAAGATGGGGGCTCCATGAGAGGCTGGTCAGGTGCCATTTGGCCAATGGCAGGTGAGAAGGGTTCCTTTGGTGAACTTGTCTCTTGTGTCCCGAGTTCTGGGCCTTTTTCACGCTCCGACCCCAGTTGTCAGTCCCATGAGCTCCTCTCTGTTCTGGGTGGTATCTTGAGGGACTTTAAATACCTGGGGAAGGCTTCTCTGGGTCTGGGCTGGTGTCTCAGGGCCAAGGGAAATGAGAAGCTGAAGAGGGAGTGTGGCTCAAAGTTCTTGCCCACCCTCCCCAGCCCTGACCCTCTCCCTTCCCGCAGCCAACACCACACTGGGTCCTTCCTGTTTCTTTTAGAAACCAAGAGAGGTGAGGGAACTCTTCAGGGGTACACAGCTCATATACCTTTGCTCTGGAGTGTGGAGCCAGCTTTTTCACCTGGCTGTTCCACCTCTGATGGACTTACCTGAGACTGTATTTCTCATTCTCTGTGGAATTCTTTTTTGGACAAATGACAGGGAATCATCAGTCCTTTCTGCCTCTTCTCAGGAAGGCATAGCCTTTCCGAGTCTCCTGTAGAATGTATACACCCAGCAGACTGCTCAAAAAACAATGCCTTGAAAACATCATGCTAAGTGAAATAAACCAGATACAAAAGGACAAATACTGTGAGATTCCACTTCGAGGAGGTACCTAGAATAGGCAAATTCACAGAGACAGAAAGTAGGGAAATGGGGGGAAAGTTCTGGAAATGTGTGTGGGTGATGGCTGCCAGCACTGTGAATGTGCTTCATGCCCTGAATTGCACCCAATTAAAATGGCAAATTTTATAGGATATATATTTTACCTAATAAAAAAATTAACTACAAAAAAGAAAAGGACTTTGAGACCAAGAAGGATTTGTCCCTCCCAAATTTCTGACCTTAAGTGTTTTGTCCTTCAGTCCTCAGTTTCATTTAGTGAGGGGGTTGTTTGCCAGTGAGTTACTAATTTATTATAAATGATAATGCACCTGTGAGATAAAAATGATTATATGTTAAGGAATAACATTTATTGATAATTAAGTGTTTCATTGCTTCTTTGCTTTCTCCAAATGGAATAAATAAATATTTTAGACATAATCAAGTTTGTTTTTCTCTGTTCAGGCCAAACAGACAGGGATGTTGAAACAATATAGATCTTTAAAATCCTGCAAATGAGTCTTGACATTGCTGAATTGTTATGCATCCAAGATTCACAGGCTTGAATCCAGGCCATCTCCTTTGATCAGGAAAATCATTTTTGTGATACTTGGATTTTGAGTCCTGTGGGGTTAGGGAAGAGACCAGCAGGGAGACTAGCAGAGTCAGAATTGGAGATGATGCTGAGTCCTGCCCCCACCCTTCCGGTGCAGCAGTCTGCATTCTAATTCCTGTCTCCTGGCTCCCTCACGTTCTGGCTGTCTCTGAGCCACAGCACCAAGTGGGAAATTGGGGCAACCATGAGTCCTGAATGGTGCTGGGTCAGGAGTTCACACAGCGATTTGCACAGCTGACCCGGAAGGAGTGGGTCACATTGGAAAGGCCAATTCCGGGCCCCAGACCCCTGTGGCGACTTGACTGACTGGGCCCTGTTCCAGGATGGAGGGCGTGCGTGGGTGGGTGCATCCATGTGTGCATGCGTGAGCTCAGCAGCAGGATGGTTTTCTGAGGGCTGTCCTCTTTGATTTGTGGAGTGGTGCCCTGGCCTGGCACTGATTTTCATGCTCTTTCCCGATGGTGCAAATGGGTCTGCACCACTGTCAGCACTCTCCTGTCTTCTATCCAAAGCACATGCTTGGCCCGGCTGGGGAACTTGTGGGAACCACCCCCCTTGGGTGGCTCTGCTGTGCATCGGTTTCCAGTGGCTGCCATAGAAAATGGCCGGCAACTGCGTAACATACAGCAACAGAAATGTGTTTTCTCACAGTCTGGAGACCAGAAGTCCAAAATCAAAGTGTGGGCAGGGCCGTGTTCCTGCTGACAGTGTAGAGACAATCTTTCCCGGCCTCCTCCAGCCTCATGTGAACTTGCCCCTCAGTGAATCTCTCTCTCTCTCTCTCTCTCTCTCTCTCTCTCTCTCTCTCTCTCTCTCTCTCTCTCTCTCTCTCTCTCTCTCTCTTAGGAGAGCACCTGTTGCTGGAGGTAGGGCCTACCCTAAGTCCAAATGATTTCTTGACATCCCTAACTTTACATTTTCAAAAATCCTTTTTTGAAATAGGGCCATGTTCCTAAGTCCCAGGGACAGTTCTTTTTGGTGGCCACTGTTCAACCCTTTATGCTAATCCTAATTAGCAGTGAGGTCTCCCCTGAGGACTGGCCCATCCTGGCTTATTTAGGTATTCACATGTTGCCTAGTCCAGGCCAGAGGGATGAACTTCAGAGAGAAATGAGACCTGAGTGACCCATAAGCTAGAAATGAGGGCTGTGAGAGGGATGCAGTCTGCAAAGGGGTGAGGCTGTCCTTGAGTGGGGACCTCTGTATTGTGCCTTTTAGAGAGCAAATTGCTTGATGCTCCATCCCCCACGATGCCTGACACTGGTTGGAGCCAGAAGAGAGGGTCCAGTCAGTCTTTTTGAGGCAGGTGGTAATAATGCAGATGGATTAATGCTCGGAGGAGCAGAAAGAGTTCATTCAGTCATTCAGCTATTGTCAGCTACCAGCCACTTGGCACTCTAGTTAAGATCCCCTGCTTCCTGGGACCCAGATTGAATGAGGTCAGGCCCTGTCCTTATCCCTGAAATCAGTGCTTGTGATTCCTGCATCCTCCACCGTGCTGCCCCTCCAGCCCCTGGGCGCTTTTTGTGGGGCCTGCATCTTAATCCCTACTTGAAGAGGGGCTGCTAGGATCTGCTCTAGAGGGTGGGCAGGAAGGAGGGGATTAATCAAATCCATGCAAAGGCCCTGCCTGGGTGAGAAGTTTAACTGGTGGTTTTCAGGCCCCTTTGAAGGAGGGTATGGGCAGGCAGCACACCAGAGCCCAAAGAGCAGTCGTTGGAGACACATCTGGTTATGGCTTTCCTCTTACTGCACATAATAAATGGGTCCAAGGGCCAAAGAGGAGATGCCCAAACAGAACCCAGGGATGGCGGTATAGCACTCTCCATGGGACCTGGCTTTGGGGGCGGGCGGTTGTAAAAACTTGGTGAAAGGTGTTTAGTCGCGTCTCTTCCAAACAAAACATCACTGTCTGAACCAGGTTTCTCCAGGATGACGCTGGGAGAAACTGGGCAACTTTGAGCACCTGCAGCAAATCCTCGTGTACCCCTAATGGTGCTTTTGACCTTCACCCTCAGTGTCTATAATAGACCAGGAAGTGCAGGCAGAGAGCATCGGTCAATATTTGATGTGGGGCTAAATTATATACCATCATAAAGATCATGATTGTCATTTATGTGCTGGTCCTAACCCTCTGTTTTACTGCAAATTGAGAAAAAGTAGTCTTTTTCAATTCCTTTCCCGAGGAATCTTCTAGACCCAGCAGGAGCTATGACCTAGGGGCTCCATGTATCTCAGAAAAGGGTGGTGTCACAGTTGGAGACAGAAAGGTCTTAAGTCTCTCCGTCCCTCGCAGAGAGCCTCGCAAATCTGGATGTGGGCTGTGAATGGAATGTGGGACCCATCATCCAGTCTCACCATCTCAATTTGCAGGTGCAGAGAGGGAAAGGGGCTTCCAGGGATGACACATAAGTTAGTGCCAAGTCAGAACTGGAACCCAGGTTTGCTGCCTCCCCGCCAGGGTGTCTGCACCCACCGCGCATGTCCCTCCTGGTGTTAGGGTTGGCATACAATTGCATTTCATCTGAGGTAGGGTGCCATTCCATGAATGGGCCCATGTGTGACAGCGGGGCTCACCCAGGGGGTGGTCACAGCTGGGGCAGCATGCTGGAAGCCCTGTCGGGGGCAAGAGGAGAAGAAAGAGAGGGGCAGGAGGGTCGCAGAGGAACTCAGGATGCTGAGCAGCGGTCGGCTGCCAAAATCCTTCAGTGCGGCTTGTCTAGCAAAGCCGGTCTCCAGCCGAGTAAATACAGTGGATAGCTGATGGGCTGACAGCAGGCATCAAACAGTCTTAAACTGCCCCAAATCCACAGTGCTTTTGAAGCAGCAGTAGAAAAAGGATGCCTGCGCAGAACAGAGGCCCGAAACTTTTAATAGTTTCTTCCATGCCTCAGGATGTCCTGATGAGGTATTAGAGGAAGTAATTCAGGAAGAAAAGGACAAATAACAGCCTCTGTCTGGAGGCCGACCAGAGGGCTGGCCGTTTCATTGCAGAAAGGGCGAGTGTGGCCCTGTGGGGAGCCCTCACACTCTGGGTAGCCCACCCACCCGCCTCCTGCAGGGAGCCCCAGGCTCTGACCCTGGTAAATAACAGACAAGTAAGTTGTTTGCTTCAGGGGTGAAATCACTAGCTTTTCCTCACTGTGGGAAGGGTGCCCCGAACAAATTAGAAGCCATTTCTTCCATCAGGAGGCCCTTCCCAGGATCAGGATCCGCCCCGACCCTCAGATCTGGAGCCTGTCACCTCTGCAGGACATCAGAGAAAGCAGGCAGGTGTCCAAAGCCAAACTCACCTCTCCATTCTCTCTTTTTTCCCTTTCTCCTTTAGGGTTTGGCTTTGTCACTTTTGAGAATGAAGACGTTGTGGAGAAAGTCTGTGAGATTCATTTCCATGAAATCAATAATAAAATGGTAAGTCTAGGTAGAGGATCACGCCAAAACGTGATGCTTCCCTCCATAATACACACCTTTGGCAGGCAGGCCACTCCGCCTTCATGCTGATGGTGGGGGGGTAAGCATGGGGACCAGACTCAGGAGTTCAGACCTATGAACGGCAGGAAGTTGACAAACTTTTTCTGTCAAGGGCCAAATAGTAAATATTTTTAGCTTTGCAGATCATTATATAACTGTCGCAACTACTTAACTCTGCTGTTGTAGCATCCATAGACTAAATAGTTTTGGTTTTTTTTTAATGCCTTTTTAAAATGTATAAACCATTCTTAACACTCAGGCTGGACAAAAGCATACAGGAGTCCAGGCTTGGCCTGCAAGTAGTTAGATTGCTGACCTCTGACTTCGCATATGAATGCACTTGCTGTTTGGTTTGGCTTTTTAAGAGGTAGATTCTAGATAGGAAGTTTACCACCCAAATTATCTCTTTGGATCCTACTGGGTAATTAACACTATACCCTTATGATCACCTGACTGGTTTTACTCTTATGTTCGGCTGCTTCTGTCCCCCGCTATGGCTCGAAGTTCCTTTTCTTAGCAGGGCACCCTCATCCCTGAGGGAGGTTGGATCCTTGAAAGTTTGGGGAGCCAGGTAGGCCACCCAGAGAAATGGCCACCAGAGGGCGCCATACCATGTGCAGAAGGTGCACACTGATGCTCAGCATATCAAATGCCTTTCTTCAAATTGAGTAGGTGGGTGGCAAACCTCTTATTGGTTCCAGAAAGATGGGAGCTCGGCAAGTTCCTGGGGCCCTCAGCAGGTCCTTTGGAGCCCAAATATTTTGGTTGGCCAGCAGAGCTTCCAGCCCCTTAGAGAAGAGAGAGGACAAATTTGTGTTTCAATCATAGCTGTAACTTCGATATTTTCTTCCTTTAGTCAAAGCGTTCCTTGCTTCTGAAACATGCATTCAGATATGCATTGTGTATTGGTCTGATATGTGTTCACCGACTTTAAATTCAATAATAGAGCTTTTAGTGTGGATAAGATCAAAGCAATCTGCTTAGCATGTGGTGCTACAGGCCTGATTCAATATTTGACTTGCTAATTTTTTCCCAGGGCACTAAAATAATATTGTTCATATTGTTCCTAGCCATCATATGCATCTGAAATGAAAATATTGTTTCTTTGCATACTATAGGTTGGAGGCATTAAAATGGTACAGAGGAGATAAGTGTGTAGAAATAACAGATCCCCTCATAGGCTCTCTCTGCTCTCCCCCCCACACACCACAACGTTGGTGCGTTTCAGTTGGTGCTTTTCTCTTTTAGTAAATTACCACTTGCTATTTCTGAAACTAGTGAGATGGGGCTTTAAAGGATGTTTGTCCTAGTCAGGGCATGCCATTGATGGACCCCGCCTGGGCAGCTGAGAGCACCACTATCCTGCCAGGCCTTAGTGGTGCATCGGGAAGGCCCCAGTAGACTGGCAAGAGACCACGCTGTGTGCTGCCTGGATTCACTGTTGATAAGTTTTGAGACAAGTCTGAGATACAAGTGGAAAAGACTTCATTCTCCTCATGGTTCCTATGGGGCAACTGAGGCCTGGGATATGCCCCGGTGCTACCCACACAGTGATTGAAGGTCTCGAGCTTATTGACTGCCAGATGAATTATAGGGTCTGTTGTTTGAGCCTGGGGGTGGGAGAGTGAGTCCCAGATGGCCCCAGGGGCAATCAGAAGGTAGCGTGGCAGCCCTGGGAAAAAATGCTGGACCAGTGTCTCAAAGCCAGGGAGGGAGGTGTGCAGCCGTTGTCCCCACTTGTGTCCCATTTGTTGCCTTATCCACCCACGTGGAGGCTAAGCCTGGAAGGTACAGGTAGCCGTGTTCATGGTATGAGGTTTTCTGTTTTATTTTGAATCTGGGCCTGATATTTGTTCTTTAAGAGAATAAGCAAACGTGGAAATAGACAGGAGGAAGAAGTAAGGGTGTATGGGTAGGCTCACAGACTGGGGGTATCACTCAGGTGCCCAGTCCAGCCCCACCAGTTAGAAGCTCTTGGGGGAATTTAGAGGACACTGGGTCACACTGAGCTCCAGAAAAACCAGGCCTGTAGGGGCCACTTTGTGGGGTTCCCACAGCCTAGAGGAGACCCCGCAAACAAAGACTTGGCTCAGGGCCTGCCCAGGGCCAGGTGTGATAGACTCTGTCGTTATCCCCATCACCATCATCACCAAAAGGACCTCAGTGAGCCCACTCCTCTGAAGAAGGAAGGAGTTTAAAGTGTAATGGTGGAGGAGCCTGAATCCCTAGTTGCTTTAGATTCTGTGATGCCGGTTTCTACTTCCAAAGCCCAAAGGAAAGGAAATGAATTTAAACTGTGTGCTATGGGCAGAATTCAAATGAGAGATCCGGAAGGACTGAGTGCTCAGACAGCCCAGCGGGAGCATGGACAGTTGTAGAAGGTCAGGAGGACTGTTGTAAGCGAAACCATGCTGTAGAACTGAAGACCCGTCTCCTGTCCTGGTCAATGGGCAGCAAGGCGCAGGTGGCCGCACCACCTCCCACCCCACCCCACCCTATTGGGGAGCTACTGTTTTCTCATAGTCACAGATAAGAAAGGTCTCCCACTTGGTTAGCCCCAGATAGGACTTGATCCCTGATCCAGTGCCCTTGTGCCTGGCACTCAGTGGCTCCTGGATAAATCATTGTGGAATGAGTAAGGGATTAGGGGAGGGACCATGTGGCAGCCACACCATCGCTCCCAAAGCCATTTCCTATCTAATTTGGTTGGTGACTCTTCTGGGCATTTTGAAAAATGAGTACCCTTCTCCGCCGTCTGGAGAGCCAGAAGCAGAGCGGAGCTGCTGCCTCCCCTCCGGAGCAGGACTGCGGTGGTCAGGAAGGCAGGTCCCAGGAACTCCGCCCCTCCCCCACAGGCCCTGCCTTGAGAGGTGGGGGGGGGGAGGTGCACAAAAAGGCCCCATGTGGTGCTTTCCACATCTGTGAGTGCCAGCTACATGTGGTGGGCGCCACACCTCTCTCCTCTGACCAGCACACGTTGTCCAGTGTAGGTACTAATTATCTCCTCCATCTTACTGATGTGCAAGATGGGGCAGAGGGAAGGTGAAGCAGCTTGCCCAGGGTCATTGGCAGCAAGTGGTGGCACCAGATTCAAGCCCAGAGCTCACAGCTGTACCCAGAACATTATTTCCCCTCCAACAGACAGGAACTTTGAAGGTCACCTAGCTGGGCTGCCAGCTGACCACCCCCTCCCAAGTCAGCCAGCATGTGGCCCATGAGGTCCCATGTTCTCCTAGGTGAGGGCAGAGTGGATAGATTCGCTCAGGGACCAGACACCCGACTGGGGTCAGGGGCCAGGCATGGGTGTAAGGGGTCCCTGCTGGCCATGGCTCTCCAGGCAGGTGAGCCCCTGGCCCACACCCAAGCTCAGGGCCGAACTCACCATTGCTGAGCCTCAGTCCCTTCCTCCTTGGCACAGGCCAGCACAGATGTTGCTCTTTATCAGTAAACACACACACAAAAGCACATGTGGAGCCACCTGGTGACCCTCCCGAGAGGGGCTCCGCTCTGGCCACTCGGCTAGCCCCAGTGCGGGCACAGCTAATAATGCCTCCCACTGCGCGCCCCTGATTGAAGCAGCCCCCGAGCAGCAGGGACACCTGCTTGATTAGTCGCCAGCACAGCCTCCCGGCGAGCGAGACAGCCGCAGGGAGGGAGGCTGGAGTGACAAAGACCTGCTCCCGCTTCCTGGGAGGCCTGGCTCGTCCCCACCTCAAACGGGTGGGGAGGCTACCCCTGCCAGCAGGGGAGAATGTGGGCCATTAGAAAATGCCCCCCCACCCCATTCAGCAGGAAGAAATGGGCTTTTCTGGGGCCCTCTGCACTGGTGCTTCGCATGCAGGCCACCTCCCTTTGTCCTTAAGTGGAGGTGCGTGTCCTGTTTTACAGGCGGGGATGCTGGAGCTCAGCAGTGAAGGGGCTTGCACTGCCCACGGCTCGGAGAGGCAGATCCATATTTGAAAACTGGTGCTCGGACTTGAACCCTGTATTCTTCCATTTTATCATTTAAGAAAACCTGATGGTTGAAAAAAATGAATTTATTCGACTTGTGAAATATCACGAAGCATTTTATTTGCCTTATACAGGATTACACTACGATCCTTTAAATGGTCGTTATTCATTTTGGGGGGGATCTGAGTTGTGGAAATTATTGAGCAATTTGGAAGCTTAAGAATGCAGAGTCTCAGGCCCCACCCACCCCCTACCAAACCGGAAGCTGCATTTTGACAAATCCCTATATGATTCGCATGCACATTAAAGTCAGAAGTGGCGCGGGAGGGTCCTTGCTAATGAGAGATAACATAGGAGCTACAGGTCATAAATCTTCCATGTCAGACATAGAAGTGAGGGAACTAAGGCCCCAAGAGCACCAGGTCCCAGGCCAGTCTGGTGCTCTCATCACCAGCTCAAAGGGGCCAGCTCTCCTTTCCCATGGAGCTCTCAGTGCTAGGGACTCCCCCCGGTGCTGGCATCCCTCTTTACCAATCCCTGGCTGGGACCTCCATTGGAGGGCTGGCTCCTCTGAATCGCGTGTGCCTGTCACTTAGGCGTCCCTGGCTTTGGGGCACATGGACCCGATCCTGAATCCCAGACCCACCACTGGTTAACTGGTGACCACGGTCCCCTAGCGGTCTGCACTTCTGAGGTGGGAGGGGTGATGCCCACTGTCCTTTGCAGCTTATAGATGCCCTGGCACAGCCAGCTCCTGGCCCTGGGAGGCGTGGCCTGCTTCGCAGGGCAAATGATCTGGTAGCCTTGGAGGAATCAGCCCTTCTGAAAACAAACCCCCTTGGTAATTGCAGGTCTCCTCCATTTGGCCTAACCCAGGGACCAATAACATTTCCATCAAGGGCCAGATAGTAAATATTTTCAGCTTTTAAGGCCCTAAGGTCTCATACTGGCTCAACTCTGCCAAAAGCAGCCGCTGACAACATGTAAAT